TATGTTTAAATGAAAATGTCCATGAAGATGGTCTTAAATAGACCTAAACGTCCGACGTCGACTTTATATTAACATTAATAAAGCATAATTGCATATTAAGATTTTTGTTTGTTTTTTCTGTATTTTTCTTCATACTGTCGGATCCATATCCATATATTTTTACATATATATATATATATATATATATATATATATATATATATATATATATATATGTCTGCCGCGTGGTCGAGAGATCTTAAAAAATAAACAAGATCTGCTCTTCGGCAGGAATATTCAAATAGTAGTTAATAAACAACATTATAAATACGTAATGTAACGTTAAACGTTATCTTTCACACAACTATCGCTTTGTGTTGTATTCAGTGTCAATTTATATATATATATATATATATATATATATATATATATATTATTTTTACTTTTATTATTATTATATAACGTTATCTTTCACAATATTTTAAATAAAATATCCATTCAGGATATAGGCGTTAATGGCTCTCTGTATTATTTATATAAATTGACCTCCAATCGGTTGTTAATTGGGGCAAGAATTGGCTGGTTGACTTTAACGCTTCAAAAACTAAACTACTCTCTGTTAATCACCATAGAGATCCTTCCCCCCACCCAATTAGAATGTCTGATAGTCAACTTTTTTGAGAGCAACTCTCCGCGTCTGCTCGGTCTCACGTTGACTGCTGACCTGAGATGGAACAAGTACATTGAGTCAATTGCTTCTTCCACCGCGAGGAAAGTTGGCTCTCTGTGCCGCGCCAGGAAATTTTTCTCCCCGGAATCGTTACTTCAAATATACCAATCAACCATTTGCCCTTGCATGGAGTATTGCTGCCATATATGGTCTGGGGCACCTTCTGTTTACCTCGGAGTTTTTGACAAGATCCAGAGACTGGTATGTAATATAATTGGCCCTGATCTGGCGTCTGGTCTACAGTCACCCTCTCACAGACGCGCCGTCGCCTCTCTATGTCTTTTTCTACAAATACTTTCATGGTAATTGCCCCGATGAGTTGCTTTCGCTGGTTCCCAGACTCCATGAATTCAAGCGCCCTACGAGGCTGGCATCCCGATCCCACCCTTACACTGTAGAAACATTTAAATGAAGCAGTCTCTTCTACTCCAATAGCTTCATAGCTCGCCTGTGGAACACCCTTCCCAATTACTGTTTCCCTGAGAGCTATAATCTCCAACTATTCAAACGTAATATCAATCGACACCTCCACTTACCTTGATCTACCCACTATCCTTCTCCTCATCCTTTCTTCTTTCTCTCCTATGTGCTCTCGCTCCAAATCTTCTGTACCCCCCTGTATCCTAGTGGCTTCACGCCTTGCTCGGGGCGTAATACTTAAAAAAAATGGCCCTGCTCTGGCATCTCGTCTACAGTCACTTTCTCACAGACGCGCCGTTGCCTCTCTCTCTCTGTCTGTTTTACAAATACTTTCATGGCAATTGCTCCGAGGAGCTACATTCGCTGGTTCCCAGACTTCATGAGTTCAAGCGCCCTACGAGGCTGGCATCCCGCTCTCACCCCCTCACTGTCGAAACTTCTAAATATAGCCGTCTCTTTTACTCCAATAGCTTCATGTCCCGCACCTCTCGCCTGTGGAACTCCCTTCCCTATTCCAGTTACCCTGAGAGCTATAATCTCCAGCTATTCAAACGTAATGTCAATCGACATCTCCAGTTGCCTTGATCTATCCACTACCCTTCTCCTCATCCTTTCTTCTATCACTCCTATCTGATCTTGCCCCAAATTTTCTGTAACCCCTTGCGTCCTAGTGGTTTCTCGCCTTGCTTGGAGTGAAACGCTTAAAAAAAATATATATATATATATATATATATATATATATATATATATATATATATACTTTATTTTTCCTCTATGAATTTTCCCAGTTTATTGTTTACCTGTTGATGGTTTTACATTGGAAGCTTTCAAAGTCTACGCTTGGCAGTTACACCAATCTGGTCTTATTTCACATGTAACCCATAAGTAATGGTTGAAAGGAAATAAATTAAAGTTCTTTTTCAATGTTTTTTTACAATTCCATTTTTAGCACCAGCAACTTATAAACTCTCCGCTCATATTTCTATTATTCTTCTATTATTACTTATTACTTAATTTTAATCGCCGAACATCTCCATAATTAGTTTGACTCATAAATAACTATACACTCTACTCATTTATCTCTCAAGTAAATTTCTGATTTCTTGTGCAAATGCATATATACCGATTACATTCACAGACAGTCGACAACGAATAATTTCTAAAGAGTAGTCGAGACCAAACAAAGTTATTCGCAAAGAGGCATACGAAACAAAGGCGGAGATAATCGATAATATGAAACCTATCATTAATTTATCGCCTCATATATTAACATTTCCGGAAGCCCTTACTCTTTTCCCGAAGTTCAACATAGTCTACGCGTATTTTAGCCTAACTCTCGCCTTACGGTAGCATTTGTCAATGAATAACTGGCAATTGCCGCCTGCAGGCATGGAACATTATCCATTTGAAGATTCTAATCGTTACATTGGCTTACACACTTGTCTGCAATTTCTACTTCAGAGAGAGAGACTGGCCAGAACTGCAGCAAGAATAACAGGCACACAGAATCCCCCCCCACCAAAAAAAACTTGTTTCAAGGAATTATTGATTTTGCGTGTTATTATCGGATAAAACGTTTACGTTTTTTTGAAAAGCAGAATTACATTAAGTATAAGTCGATTGGTAGTAATGTTTAAACTGAAGGCAAATAGTCAAATCAAACTGGTCAATACTAGAAATTGGATGTACGAAAGCTGTTCAAGAAGTATAGGGCCTCTTGCTTTGCTAACGTTGCTAAAATATATAAAATATAACTACTTGTTCCAGACTGAACTCCTCTGCGCATGCGTTATAACACTTTCGCTCACTTGCCTTGTTTATAGCAGTGCTTGGAAGGTAAGTGTAGTCGTCACACCACAGCACATAGATTTTCATCAATGACTATGGCTTGGGTAGTAGATTTTGGCCAGCCACCATATTCTCTTGACCTTACCACTTGCAAATTTTCTCTCTTCAAAAATCAAATCTCGCTAAAAAGGAATAAGATTTAAAAAGGACGAGAGAATCCAAGAGCATTAGGAAGCTACTCTTTATCTCATCAGCGGAAACGACGTTGAATAAAGGGTGTGGCTTCCAAAGGGCTCTTGTACAACTGCGATTACATGCCGATTTGATATCAGTTGTAAAAACTTTCTCTACAAAGATTAACATGAGCTTTTTGGGTAGACGCTAACTGAACTTGTACTTTGTCGATGACATATTCGATTGTCGAAATAATATAGGCTGGTATGTATCTTCCTTCTCTCATGGCAATGATCGTGCTTCGCGATACACACATATTTATCATGAATCAAGAAGTAACAATACAAATGCTTATTACGGTATATCGATATCATTTAAAATTCTTATAAATATTACTTCCATAGTTTTTGCAATTGAGAAATGGATAGATTTAGTCAAATAAGTAAGTGAAACTGTAAAGTTAATTTTTACACTAGAAATTATATTTAATATTATGAATATGCTGTACATTTCTAGAGAAATACTATCAATTATGTCTAGACGTATCACAGAAGCACTTAGATGCATAGCTTTTTTATTACCTTTTATTGGATATTAGTTCAAGGTACTGATCTTGTTTAGCTCCATATATATTTGGCATTATGATAAATCATGAAACATTTCAGGAATATTAGTTATTAATTAAAGATTAGGCACGTGTGATGATATCTGAAGCAAAGCTTTTTCTAATATATACACACACATACGCACATACACACATGTACCGATTCCTTGTGGTGGGATAGTGTGTATGTGCGTATGTGTGTGTATGCGTGTATATGTACAAATGAGTTTACTAATTCCTCGTAGTAAGACAGTATATGTATGGAGGGGAAATATACGCACGCATATATACACGCATGCTGACAGAAGCACACAAAAATGGAAACAGATCCAAGAACACATAGGGGTCAGTAAAACATTAAAAGATAAAATGACGATAAGCAATTCATCATCTCGCTGGACCAACCTTAATTGTTTTATGACCCTTCGCGCAGAACACTTCGTTGCCAATTCAAGAAAGAAATTCGGATTACCAACACACAAACAGAGAATGTCTCATATCGCTAATATTTAACATTGAACATAAGGAAAAAAATAATTATTTTTAATAATATGTGGAAATCTCCGCTTTTACCTGAAGACTGTCGCGAGACCAGAAACACGTGTAGTAAAATTATGTAAAACAAAGCATAATATTTTTTTCTAAATAAATCCACATTACAACCAAAAACGTTTGCGGCACCTCTCTTCTTTTTAATATACATACTTTTCTCTCGTTGGAACCACTACAACATATTTCTTTTATATATATATATATATATATATATATATATATATTACGATCTTCATTGTCATCAGATTTTGTTCCATTTTCTGTGATAATTTGCATAAGAATAGAAGTCACCAAACTGACTGATGCCAACTCCTGGGTGTTGATCGGATTCAACCAAATATCAAATCCCTTGGTTTAACTTATGAAACATATCGCCCCCATTATAAACGTCGACCGATTACATAAAAAAGCATATTTATTTATTTTGATTCATTTATTATTGCCTATATTATTCAGGATGTTTTTCTCCTCATTATTATTGATTGTCTGAATTGTTTTTTACGGCTTATCAACCTTTCGCAGGTTATTGAATGACTGGAAATATTTTTAGATTGTAAGAATTTCTTGGAGATATTAAGGATTTACTGATAAAGGTTTTGCTAATTAACTGATAGGTGGGATGGAAAGAGCTTTATTTATACCTTTACCAAGCACATAAATAAATCTAACGAACCAGTCTGGAATTGGAACTTAGCTCTTTGATTTCTAGTTTCGAGTCGTTATCCATTATAACAAACGTACACCCAAGCTTAGAGCACCCGGTATTCCTAATTAGTCACTCATCTAAGTACGAACCAGACTCGACGTTGCTTAACTTCTGTGATTGCAAGAGAACCGGTGTTTCAACTCGAAAAGCCTATTTTTATTAATATTAAAAAAATAACGTTTAAATTCGGAATAGAAATTAGTATTTTGAAATAATTGCAACAAAAGAAATAACAGTAATTAAAGAAGCAATAAGTAAGAAAACAATAGTTAAGGAAAGAATAATAAAGAAAACAATAATTAAAGAAACAATAATTAAGAACAGAATAATTAAAGGAACAATAACTAAGGAAACATTAATTAAGAAAACAATAATTAAGGAAACAATAATTAAGAAAAGAATAATTACAGAAACAATAACTAAGGAAACAATAATTAAGAAAACAATAATTAAGGAAACAATAATTAAGAAAACAATAATTAAGAAAAAATAATAAGGAAAACAATAATTAAAGAAACAATAATTAAGAAAACAATAATTAAGGAAACAATAATTAAGAAAGTAATAACTAAGAAAACAATAATAAAGGAAACAATAATTAAGAAAACAATAATTAAAGAAACAATAATAAAGAAAAGAATAATTAAAGGAACAATAATTAAGAAAAGAATAATTAAAGGAACAATAACTAAGGAAGCATTAATTAAGAAAACAATGATTAAAGAAACAATAACTAAGTAAACAATAATTAAGAAAACAATAATTAAGGAAACAATAATTAAGAAAGTAATAATTAAGGAAACAATAATTAAAAAACATTAATGGATTATTTGAAAAATATATAAACAAGCATAATGCTAAAATGCCTCTTATCAAGAAATAATTACAAAATAAAACCACAAAAGTGATTCTGAAACATATATAAAATATAATTGTTGTTGATATCTTTCGTACATACATTGGAGTCGATAAGGTATCAAGAATACAATGACGTATGCCAAAATTCGAAAATGATAGGAGCCCCGACACTGAAGAGCCTATATCTCAAGGTGAAAAATTATGAACGTACAAGCTGGACATAGATAAATTTAATTGTTACGAATTTGATATCTTCCTGTCATCTTTTTCCTTAGTTCTAATCTGTAATAGACACAACTGAGATTTGAGGCCAGCCATAACGACGCATTACCTGACTCGACTATCTCTCGATATTTTCAATGAATATCATGGTCAGGCACAAAACGTCCGGTATGTGGCACGTAATGAATTAACTTTGATTGAAAAAAAAGGAATTGTTTGCCAGACTAACTTGGCAACAACTGCTCCACTGTGTCTGTTATTCGTGAAAGACGTAATAATTGATGGCATCATATTAGTAGCATCGGGCATCAAGAAGCCGCGTTATCTTTGATACGTCTCGGTCGTCTACTCCACTCTCAGTCTCAAATGTATTCGTCAGCCATTTTGTGTCAGTTGTAAATCGCCTACTAGCGAATCCGGTTAATTATAGAGAAAACAGTTTTTGGTAGAGAGAAAAAAATTATATCAATACACATTTAAGAAAAAGTAAGAAAAACGCATAATTTTAAAAATTGAAAAAATTAAGGATTTTATAAAATTAATTTTGTACCGTTTTCTAAATTCGATTAACTTATCTATAGCTAATTCCAACATTACATCAGACAAAATCTATGCATATTTATTTTTACAAATCACAAAACATTTGTAGACATTTTGGCGGAAATGTAATCTATTATTACTTGTAATTTAGCGCTTAGGAACCCAGTAATAAAGGCACAAAATGTTCTCCAGCGCTAGCCAGAGTGATTGCCTCTAGAAAGAATTTATTTAAATAGCTGAATTTTAGATTATTCAGATTTCAAAGTTTACCTTCTTCAAGTCTGAGTGTTTCTTGAAACAAGAAAACCAGGTCTATCCTTCTATTTAGCCTCTGGAGGAAGATAGATACCTGATTTTTTTCTTCCAAAAGAAGTAGAGAGAAGTAAAAGCAAAAATTCTTCAGAGATTGTTCTTTTTGACCCGATCAACGTTGTACTACATCCGAATCAAATCTGATCCTATATATATATATATTTGCCATATAGTTTGCTTAATTCAATAAGTCTATTGTATAGTTTTCAATTATTCAAATTAGTGTATATATAATTTAAATGAAAACATTTGCTGTATTGTGTAATTTACCAGATTTACTTTAAAATTGTTGAAAAAGTAGGAAACATTTTCTTGTGACGCGATTCATTGGACTGAAACGCGTCACAATGTTTCCAGTTTTTCGGTTTTCTTACATTCTCTTACGGGCTAATACCATTCGGAAAAGTATGATTTCATCTCTTTTCCCACAGCTAAGAATAACAGAACAAAATGGGATTTATATACTCGGGTGACAACAAGCCTACCACAGAAATGAACGCCAGCCTACTGTGGGAATATCTTCTGCCATGCCGATCATGAATCAAGTATCACGTTTGGCACTTAACAAACGGACCCGCAGATTATTAAGTGAATAACAACAGAAACAGGTAATATAATCAGAGTTAATGTCTCCCTGCCGATAATCCACCTAAAACCGATAATTCACTTAAGAAGTTGTGACGGCGAGACGAACAAATCATTATGAATAAAAACTAAACCTAAAGAGTGCTGTCTATGTATGCTTTATAATGACAGAAGAGTAAAGAATATTTCAAAACATTGTATCAAAAATTACGGTGGCAGAAATTCCATCAATACGTCCGAGATCTCAAATGTATACTTTTAGTGACATGAGGTCAGATTTTAACTAAATTTCATCAGAAAGAAGCCTCTTATTAGATCTTTTAAGACAAACTCTGATTTTCCGTTTGTTGCACATGATATCAGCCAGAGCTCTATTGGATGCTTTTAAATTTAAAGCGCCAATTTCCTTTCATGGCGAAGGAGATTATATCATCGTTGATGTGTTTCTTTATATCTCAGAGTTGCTATGCTTTCATTGAAAAGTTAGTGGAATTGTTATCCGTTGCTTCTCTACCATCTGATATCCAGTTTTCCTTTATTTAGAAGCTCACTACCCTAAACAGGAGACCACCATCTACCCTGCTATTCAACGGATAACTGAGCTGTGTTAGCCGACCACGGCTCTCCACAAGTTCCCGTTCTTTGTATTTCTTAATAAATTTTGTTTTTTTTTTGTTAATTCTTCTAAAACCTGTTCTGCGAATATTTTCTCAAACTTGTTAGCCTGTTTTTTTTTCTTGTTTTCCTCAGTCCATCTGCTTTCAATCTATCATTTGAGGATCAAATTTTACTGGCCCTATTTAATGTTAAATATAAATGTTTTGGTTTCCATTTTCTCTAAGATTTCGTCATTGTTCCCATGCTTGCTCCATAGTAAAATCGACATCCTTCTGTAGAACGCCATTTCTGTTGTTTCAAATTTTGAATTCTTCTATCAAGAGTTTGTCTATCATTCGATCTCGTACAGAAAGACCGATATTACATAACAACCAGAACCATTTTGTTTGTTCCATACGGGTTTTCTTTGTTTCTTAATACATTGACTAACATTTGGAAGGCATCGTTCTTTATACCAATGCGATTTCAGTTTCGCAAGTTCGATTCATTTATAAAACACTTACCAAATATTTAAATTGTTGTACTTGAATTCCAGTCAAATTAATTATATTCACTTGCCTGCTAATAGATTGAGAAAGGTATGAATCCTCTTCTTTCCTCCCCAGCTATGGATAAATAGCATGACAGAACGGATTCTGTAGCCTTGCATGGAAACTGGTCTACCGCAGAAAGAAATGGCATCCTATTGCGGGAAAAAAATCTGCCTCGTCAGTCATGTATCGAAAGATACATGATCGCCTAAGCGTGTAACACTGATGGCACATAACTGACTGTTTACTAAATATTTAAGTTAATCTTAACTTTTATTTAATTTTTGTAATGCTTTCACATAAAGAAAAGCTTTCTATGAATCACATATTTTATAATTTTCTAAAGTTAGTGTAAATTTCACATTTCCATTTAAATATCACTGATTCCTTCACTTAAACTTCATAACAAATTAAATTCAGCCGATTATAATCTAAAACGAAAACAGAAGAAAGAAATGAGTCAATTATCGAACTCCTTGTTTTTCGCTCAAGGAATAAAAAATAGAAAAATGTCTGGTATTTTAAAAATCTATTTACCTATTCACACAATTTCAATGACGTAAACAACCCTCCAATTTTGATGCCTTCTCAGTGGACAACACCACGTTTTTCGACAAATTAAATCCGCACTGAAAATAAACACATTAGCCTTCAGCTTAGAGTCCTTGACGAAAGCACTAACCTGAAAATTGACTATATTTCTGGGTACCTATCAAATTGTAGAATTAAAACTTTGGCTTGAATTAATACTACTATTGTCGCTTAAAGGGAAAATACTCGAAGCTAATTGGATTTCGTTGAAACGCATATTCCTTTAAATAAAATACATTAATCACTTATGAAACCAGCGGGAGATAGGAACTGGACAGACGGTTACTGCTATATTTTTAAATTATTGCAAGTGGTTATAGTTGATAACGTTTTTTTTTCGTGAGTGTATCATATGCTGTAAATATCGATCTAGGGCGATATTATTCCTAGAATAAGAGTGTAGATACAAACATTCCAAGAAATATCGAGCAAATACGAAATCATATTATAATTTTTGTCTTTCTTCTGATCGTAAGTAAATTAATAAGTTAGTTGGTACTGGCGTTACGCCTTGCCATTATATCAGATACATAATGTCGCTCTACATTTTCTTTGCAAGGTAAAACGGAAGAAACATTTTTATCAGGGAGGTTGGTTCATTTTAGTGAGAAAAAGAAAGCACATATAATGATAAGAAAGAAAGAAAGAAAGAAACAAACAAACAAAGAAACAAACAAACAAACAAACAAACGGAAGAAATAGATGAAAGAAAGAGAATATAAAGCCCTCATGCATTTAATGTTTCAGCGAGATAGAAAGCCTTGTCACTTGTGAATATTTTCATTTTTAATTATCCAAATATTGTATATATTTATTTATCCAAATATTGTAGTAACAATGATATGATCTTCATTCATAAATATGATTTTTACTCCTGAAAGAAAC